GACGGAAACGTCATTGGAAAGGTCCAGGCTCTCTCCAGGATGGTCCAGCAGCAAGTCGACGAGGCTGAGGATGCTGCCGAAGACGCTGGCGATGCCGCCGAAGACGCTCAGGACGCCGCTGAGGATGCTCAGGATGCTGCCGAAGAAGCTCAAGACGATGGCCGTCCTCCTCTATCCATTCTTGATGGCCTCACCGTTAACAAGTCCGGCAAGCTCGTCGACGCCAACGGCAACATCGTTGGTGAGCTCACTGAAGGTGACGCGAAGAAGCTGTCCAAGTCTGGCAACACTTGCGATGCCGAAGGCCAGTTCTGGGACAACAAGGGCAACGTTATTGGCCGCGCCCAGACCGTTCCTCAGGAAGAAGGCGAGGAGGAAGCTCCCTTCGCTGGTCTTGATGGCCTTGTTGTCGTCAAGGATGGCTTCGTCGAGGACGACAAGGGCAACCGCGTCGGCCAGGTCGTCGAAGGCGACGCCAAGAAGCTTGTCGGTCGTTCCGTTGACGAAGACGGTGATATCCTTGATAAGAAGGGATCAGTCGTCGGCCACGCCGAGCGCTACGACGAGCCCGAGGAGGAGGCTCCTGAAGAGGAGCAGCCCGAGGACTTGTCCATCCTTGATGGCAAGACTGTCAACAAGCAAGGCAACGTTATCGGAGATGAGGGTGTGCCAATCGCTCGCCTCGTCGAGGGCAACCCCAAGGAAGTTGCAGGCCGCAAGATCAACGATGAGGGTCTCATCTTCAACGACAAGGGCAAGCAGATTGGCCGTTGCGAGCTTATCCCCGAGAACGAGCGTGAGAGCAAGCCTGAGGGCATCTTCGCTGGTCTTGAGGGTCTCCGCGTCGTTCAAGGTGGCATGGTTGCTGACGAGGATGGCAACACAGTTGGCCAGATTGTTGAGGGTAATCCTAAGCGTCTTGTTGGCATGGCTGTTGACGAGGATGGCGACATTCTTGACAAGTACGGCAACGTCAAGGGCCACGCTGAGCCTCTTGAGGAGGAAGAGGATGAGGAGCCCGCCGACCTTTCGATTCTCGACGGTCTCACCTTGAACAAGCAAGGTTATCTTACCAACAGCGAAGGTATTCCTGTCGGAAAGCTTGTCGAGGGCAATGCTGCCGAGCTCGCTGGACGCAAGTCTGACGGCGATGGTCTCATTCATGGTGACACTGGCAAGGTTGTCGGTCGCTGTGACATCATTCCTCCCAACGAGCGCCCTGAGCGCAAGGAGGGACCGTTCGCCGGATTCGAAGGACTCCGCGTGGTCAAGGACGGATTTGTCGAAGACAACGACGGCAACCGTGTTGGCCAGCTTACCGAAGGCGACGCCAAGCGTCTTGTTGGTCACACAGTCGATGAAGACGGTGACATTATCGACAAGTATGGCAATGTTAAGGGCCATGCTGAGCCATGGTCCGAGGAGGAAGAGGAGGAAGTCGACCTCTCCGCTCTTGCTGGCGCCACTGTCAACAAGGCCGGCAACATCGTTGACTCCAGCGGCCAAGTCATTGGTCGCGTTGCTGAGGGTGATCCGGCTACCCTCGTCGGCAAGAAGGTCGATGGTAAGGGCCAAATTTGGGACAACGAAGGTAACGTCATTGGACGTGGTGAGCTTGTCCATGGCGCAGACAACAGACCCGAAGGCCCATTCGCTGGCTTTGACGAGGCAACTGTCGTTAAAGACGGTACTGTCCAGACACCCGCTGGCGACATCATTGGTCGCGTCATTGAGGGTGATGTCAAGAAGCTCACTGGCCACAAGGTCGATGAGGATGGCGACATCAACGACAAGAACGGCAACGTCATCGGAAAGGCTGAGCGCTGGGAGCCCGAGGAGAAGGAGCGTCGCATCAACCCTATGGCTGGCATGCGTGTCAACAAGGAGGGTGAGGTCCGTGACGAGAACGGTGATGTTCTGGGTCGCCTCACTGCTGGTGACCTTGGTCACTGCGCTGGCCTCGAGATTGATGACAACGGTTATGTCATCGACAACGATGGTAACAAGGTCGGTGAGGTTACTCTCTTGGAGAACATCCAGGAAGAGAACGAGGATGAGACCGACGAAGAGAGGCAACGTCGTGAGGATTCCGAGCTGGCCAAGAAGATGTCCGCCATCTGTGAGGACACTCTTCAGCGCGTCCAGCCTGTCATGAAGCAGATTACTGAGGTATGTTTCATCCCCACTGACTTATATCAAACGCATACTAACATCTACCCAGTACATTGAGCAAGCCGATCGCACACCTCGCGACGAGCTCGACGAAGAGGAGCTTGTCAACAACGTCAAGCCTCTCATCGAGGAGGGCTCTCGCATTCTCAACGACTGCAACGGCTCACTCCGCGGTCTGGACCCCGATGGTCGTATCGCTGCCCAAGCCAAGGGTCGTCAACAGACTGGCGAAGCCTCGCCCGAGGAGTACAAGTTGGCCGACAACCTCAAGGAGCTTACTACCACAGTTGTCACTACCATCGACAACGCAAAGAAGAAGATCTCAGACATGCCTCACGCCAAGAAGAAGCTCAACCCTCTTTGGGCCCTGCTCACCGAGCCCCTCTTCCAGATCATCGCTGCTGTTGGTCTGTTGTTGACGGGTGTACTCAACCTCGTTGGCAAGTTGCTTAACGGTCTGGGTCTCGGCGGCCTTGTCAACGGCTTGCTAGGTGGCCTTGGTATCAACAAGCTGCTTGGTGGCCTTGGACTTGGCGGTCTGGGCGATATGCTCGGAGGCGGCGGCGACAAGGACAAGAAGAAGAAGGGTGGTTCCGGCCCTATGAGCATGGTCGGCGGCCTGCTCGGCAAGAAATAGATGCCTTGACGGTGTCTGAGTAGTTGCGGGGGGAAGATGAAGTAATGTCTGTTCACATCTTTGGTTCGAAAATTGTTTTGCATATGATACCACTACCTTACCTGGTAGTGCTCTGTCATCATGGAAGTTGGCAGTTCTTTGCCTTTTTCCCGTTTTAATGGATTTTGGTCACACAAGAGCTGGAAGATCGGGGGGTCTGAAGGTCGACCTTTTGTCGCCAAAGGAAAAGAAGAGCGGGATACCGGAAAGGAGCTGTGAGCTTTCCTTGGTGGTGGATGTCACATCCATGTATGGTTCGATGATGGCATGAATTTTCTTGGGCTTGCGTTTTCAAAAATCAGCGTTCTTGTTGTCGTGTTTTCCAACGCATCATCATGCCGCGACTCTTTGAGGCCTCAAGAGCGTACGCGCGCATCTTTGGCTAGACCAGCCGGGTTTTCCTTTGTTGCACATAGTTGAGTTTAGCATTGGCGTTTATTGCAAGGGGACGTTTCTGTTGTATGAATAGTAGGAGTAGTTAGTAATCATTGTTCTTGCTTAATATTCTCGGCCTTGCTTCGACGTCCACATCATCTTTATTCTGACATGGTTGGTGAATCTCTTGATGCTACAGGGCTGATGTTAGCAAATGTCTAAGCTGAAGGCGCCTTACTACCTTTTTCAGCGCCGGGCCTTGATCGCTGCCGAATCGCGAGTATAACAGTTTCAATGTGCATTTAGCCAAGCTTTCCGAGATGAGTTGCTCCAGGCACGAGACGACTAGAATGTGGAGGAAATGAAATCAGCACATGAATCGTGCACCGAGCCAGCATGTTGGACCCTTTACCTAAGCGATTTCCCCACAACACTGACCATCTGAACTTTGTTGTACTCATAGCTTTCCTCGTTCTTGTTCCCTTGACGGTTCAACTCGTTTTTCTAATCATCCCGCTGAGGCCTGGAACGACTCCAAGAGGACTATACTGGTGACATCACAGCCAGGCAGAACATGGAATCAACAACGAATGAGCATCTTAGACCCTGAGCTATTTTCCCTAAAGCACCCACCGAGCAAACCTTACTACACCCCTATACACCTTTGTTTTTCTTGTACCCGCCAATTTGGAAGAAGCTAAGCAGTTGGGAGAAGCTACTAGATGTAGATCGATGAGAAATGTCCGATGTTAAGATTCCCAGGCTTGGCGGGTAACTCAAGGCGACTAGAAGTATCGCTCGCCCTGCATTGCGCGACTGCTAACTCAACAGGGAGAACGTGGCGCGGATCGAAGAGGTGTCGCCATACCGAAGGACGAAGCGTGCACTATATGTGCAATGCCCAAGCTGGGGGGTTGGGATCCCATGGTTCAAGCTCAACCCCTTGTTCTGGTGCGGGTGTGGCGTCGTGGTTCCTCAATGTTGCCTGGATGGGAAGGTGCTTGAAAAACATTGGTGTAGTAGTAGATCGCGGGTACAGTACCTACTGAGAGGTGACTGGTTGGTCAAGATCTCCGACCGCGATGGTGGACTTGCGCAAACCTTAACTTCAGCTCGTGGGATCATCGACCACCAACTAACGGGACCGATATTAGAAGCACCCAGTCAGAACACCAAACCAAACACGATGGCAGAACTGGCGGTTCACTAGCATCGCATCCCATCATGATGCCCTACACTTGCACCTTTCAGGACATGGCGCCCATCCGAGATGCGATTGGGCAGGGAAGGACCTCGGTGTGCCCCGGCCCTACTCGCGGTCTGTCATGACTTCTGACATTCTGGTACACCACATGCTACAACAAATGTATTGAAGGACTCGTTCATCCTGGACTCTTCGGAGTGCGAGACGCGCGGGGTCGACTCGCTCTTTAAAGCCCTGGGCCGACGGTCGCGGAAGGCGGGAATCAAACCACACGCTCGCTTTAAACTTTACCGCTACACCAAGGCTTAGGCACCAACCTCTAGCTCATAGCTGCTATTTGCTCGCAAGGCTAAAGACAACAACCGTAGTCACGTAAGGGAACCTCTATTCACACCACCTTTCGGGCAGGAGCACTCAGCACAAAGTTGGAGTGTACTCCTAACATCTGATTGCACCAACTCAAGTACATCCGCTGGCTCCGACATGAAACTTGGTCACATAACCTTGGACCTGGATACATAACTACGCTGTCTGCAGGCCAAGCTGCTGTTCCTGGGCTGTACCTGTTTCAACATGCCTTACGATCTCACAGTTGCCATCCCGACCCTGGTTGGCAGCTTGCTGTCAGCTGTCGCAACCTCTTGCGTTCTCATCTCGTACATTGTGTACGCTGATCAGCAACGGTCTTTTCGTCATGCACTGGTTCTCAACCTTGCTTTGGCTGGTGAGAGTCCTTGACAAATCACTGAGATATTCAACTAACACGTCACAACAGAATTCATCAATTCGTTGAACAATTCAATATCTGGAATCTATGCGATCGTGAACAGGGGTAATATTGCAGAGGGCCCAGCATGTAGCCTCAATGGTTGGGTAGGTCAGTGGTCTGTTCAGGCTGCCGACTTCTCAATCCTAGCCATCGCTGTCGTAACACTCCTTACGATCACCCGCAAGACTTACATGCCAAATGCCTCCCTTTTGAGCAAGGTTCTCATTTGCGCATCGGTATGGATTATTCCCACCATCACAGGTAAGCCCATAACAGCACGATCATCAATACAAGGCTAACTCAACCCACAGCGACTACAGCCGCGGGATTGGAGGAACTGAAACCTGTTAGCGGCAACTGGTGTTGGATATCCGGCAAACGTACGGATTTACGCTATGCCTTAGGTCATGGTTGGAGGTTCAGCATCATCCTCGGAACCATTGGGATCTACATCTATATCTGGGTATATATGCGACGACACTTCGTACAGCTACACAATCTCAGCGGAGGAAGATCTTACGGCCAAGGAAGCTCTAACAAAGCTGCCAAACGCCGCACTTTCCACAGAGATAATGCCATTGAGTTAAGGAGCGAGTCGCAGACGGAGCTGCACGAGATTAATGTCGAGTACCGCTATGAAGTCAAGCATTCTGAGGGGAGGAGCGGTACCAGTCTCGGAAAGGACCTTGACATTGAATCCTCGGTGGGCGACAACAGACGCCCTAGCGAAACCACACTTGGCTCGCCATTGTCACCAGTAAGCCCATACATCAAGGACCCATCAGGTACGTGCAGTCCTTTCATTCTTGAAAGCCGTTGTTTATGATAGCTTCTCCGTCTATGATAATCCATTACTGACACGTACAGCCTTGACTAAAGACTTCCCTCCTGCGGACAGCGTACGAAACGTCGCAATAGCCATGCCCGGAAGCAGTGCCAAAGTCGCGATCTCTGGAGCCTACGAGTCCGGAACCACTCCCCAGCGCAATGGAGCCAGTCCTCGGGACCTGGAGCGAGAAATCAAGAGAATGCTACTGCTAAACGCATATCCAGTGCTGTACATCATCTTGTGGTTGCCTGGTATTCTCAATCGCCTGGTGGAAGCTTCAGGTCATTCGAGCTACCCGTTGGCTATCCTACAGTGCTCAACACAGTATATCGGTCTGGCGAATGCTATTACATATGGGTTCAATGAACATTTGAAGATGACGGTCAGGCGGGACTTGATGAAGTGGTACAGAAATAGACGGGGAAGGGCACAATTATCATCATAATTCGTGAACAATAATAACTGCACGGGTTTATAATGTTAACGTCACATACTATCTTACCCTGCTTGCAGTGAACGGTGAGAGTGCGGCCTAGCGCAATGGACCCTGGATTTCCCATCACGACGCTGGCTACATTTGTGGGTTTCTTCGTCTTCCTGACGATCCTTCCACCACTCGACACGCCGCTTTAACGAGGATGGCGAACACAAAGCGAGCCAACGACGTGCGTCCAGTGACTCCATAACTAGATCAAGAAGATAACATGTAGGTACAAAAACATTACTACTTCACTTCTTCAACCTAACATCAGCAGTACTTTGCGCAATGTTACTGAGTCTCCACTTCTACGCCTTCCAGCTGAGCTAAGGAATCGAATTTATGAGTACTTATTACCTATCGTAAGGCCTGAATATAGAAAATGGGCTAACATACCATGCTTTTGGCAGATATGCGCTCGCCCTCGAAATTGGGTACGACGGCAGCTATATTTACTATATTCTAGGTAACAGTTACCGGGGTGAATTTCGACCACTCGGTCTATTGCGCGTGTGCCGTCAGACTCAGCATGAAGCGGCTTTGCTACCTTATTCACTCAGTATCTTCACATTCAGAAATGCCATTGCCCTGCGTAAATTCGTACTGCAACTATCGACATCCCAGCAAAATGCCATCAGAACCATACAGATTGGTGAGGCAGAATGTCTGCCCAGTCAGTCGGAAGATTTTGATATAATCGAATTCGCTCATCTGAACCGACTGGGGGGACTACAAACCATTGTTATCGAAGAGGACCGTGGACTTGCAAAGATAGTGAGGTCCTGGAAGGCCGATGTCATGGTCAGGGTCTGGAAATCCGGAGACGATGTAGACATGTGGTATCCCTGGTTTTGGTGGTAAGCAGGGCAAAAGATGTCTACTAGCAGTCTTGATAGAGAGAGAAAGTAGAGTGCAAGGTGGTATGGCCCTCTAGCACCAAGGGGAAAGTCGGAAGTAAGATTCAGAACACCAACCCTCCTTGCCCTAACCACGCACTACAACTTCGTAATAAAGAAATAAGAAAAGGTATATAGATACAATACAAGGCTGCGAGTACTTCTAAGATTTTAGATTTTAGAACTTTGTACGTTGTTGCAGTGTTATAAGGGCCACCCACCATCAGCTTGTTGCCAACTTTCCCCTTGGTGCTAGAGTGGCCTAATGCCATGAACCAGGCGATACATCTAGATGAACCTCAAATTCAACTGCCCTTGATAATTGCATATCAGACCAATCACATTAGCGTGCCAGCGAACGGTAACCCAAACGCTCTCTCACTTCTCTGACCATTCTCGGCTTCACCTAGATTTGGGTCCAAGCTCTCGCTCACTTGCCAACTATTTCAATCGCGCCAGAACACAACTCATCCAAACAATAACAACAGCGACAACAACTACCGATAGTACGTCTGCCAAGATGACTCAAGAGACAAAGACCAAAGCGGTGCACGCTCGAATGTACGTAATTCAAACACAATGAGCAAGTGCGGTGAAGGCAAAAGCTAACATCGGAACAGTACGGCAGCAAACCAGCGCAATTCCCCTCTTCTACGACTGCCAGCCGAGCTCCGGAACCGAGTCTACGAGTATGTGCCACATGCGGCAATCCTCCGTTTCGTTTGTTCATTATCCTCAATGGCGCGGTGATTTCCCTCTGGGTGTCCTTGTAAATGTTGTATGGGCGCATTGAGAAAAATAATCCCCCAGAGACTTCTGTCCAGAGAAGGAGGGACCGCGTTCGTTTGTATTCTGTTCAGATGTGTTGATTCATTAGGGTTGGTGGTGACCACTTTCAGAACAACGTAGGATTCTGTAGATCTGAAAAACTATACGCGTAGATTATCTTTCTCATTTATTCCAGTATATCTTACTGCTTCTCAGGGTACCCCATCTTCGCCTCATCTTCCGCAGTTCCAAATCCTCCCCAGCCCTCAAATTCGTCAGCAAACTTGACTGCCGCGCGGAGCCAGTGGTCCGACCGGTTATCTTCAGTCTCCCATGTTTCCTCCGCTACCTTCAAGGCTCGCAATGCTGTAAATGTCAGTCAAAATGTCCATGTTCTAGCGTAATTTCCACAACATACCTTTGACATGATGCGCATCAGTCGAATGCGGGCCGTTCAATGCCTTGTCTACAACATACTTCCAGCCCTTCTTCTCACTGCCATCGTTACCCATAGCTTTACCCATATCGATCTCCGGCCTCATCTGGGCAATGTACACAGCTAATGCGAATAGCCACCATTGCCGCAGAAGACTAACATGGAACTTGGCCGGTAACAAGGGGAGGAGGATGCGAATGGCATGAGAGCTTGTAAGCACATGCACGATGAAGAAATCGTACTTCCCCTTCGCTGGTAACGGTGTGCCTGTCAAAAGCCCCAATCCCACTTCCTGAGCAGCCTGAAACTGTTCGTTCGGTGCTGTAATTTCCCAGGCATTCCAGTATTCTAAAAAGGCTTCTTCGCGCTCCTCTAACACCTTGGTGATATCACCGCTGCGGTGGTCATAAAGGCCGTCGAAGCGCTTGTCTTTGCGCACTTTGTCCAGGATATCGATGAGCCCAGTGTGATCTCCACTTGCGCTATGAGGGCTGGGCTTTGTATACCTTGGGTCGTCAATGTATTTATGAAGGGAACTGTAAAAGCAGGAGCCCATAGCCAGAGCCTCGATCGAGACGGTTCTGGAGTTCAGTTCGTAAGCGTAGCCAAGATGGATGAGAGGATGTGCAACTGGATAGTGTTAGCGATGCTCAAGCTTTGAAAGCAGCAAGCTTACGTCCGGAGATGAGGCCATTGATCAGCGGCTCCTTTCCCTTGAACATGAATTCCTCGAGCACTTCTTCGACATTGTACTTCTTGCTCACGAGCTGATCTTCGAAGAAATCGATAAATGCGCGTTGGTATCTGGCTGCTGTTGGTAATTGATTCCGTCTCATCGTCGTCACTACTCACTCGCGCTTCCCCAGGAACTCGCGCCAATCGTCCTTTGTTACTTCACCTGGCGCGTCATGCCATGGTTCTAGTACTTCAGCCTCCTTCTCGTAGATTTCATTCAGATGTTCTGCCGTGCCTCCGAGAAGGTAAGCCGATCCTAAGATCTAGGGTATTTGCTTAGCAGCTACAGCCTTTACAGGAGGAGCAGCATACGTGCGGTGTATGGTTGTGAAAAGTAAGGTTGTGGTATATAATCGAGTAATTCGCGTGATTCGCTTTGAGTAGATGCTTGAGAGTTCGCGGTCGCTTTTCCGCCGAGGTTTCGATATCATGGATCTCCACAGAGGGTAGATCGACAGTGAGATGCGTGCCTTCGCCTGCACGAAGAAAAGATGGCAACGATATTCTTGGTAAGCTGAACATTGTTTCTGTGTGATTGCAAAACTCAAGAGAGTTTGCGGGGAAGATGCGCAATGAGAGCTCGCGTCGCGCCTTTCTCGTTCTGGTATGACGTGATGTCCTCGGTGCCGCTCGCAAGCTTAACCCAATCAGGACGAGCAGAACCTCAAAGTGACTCCACAATGCTTCCATCCTAGCTGCTCATTCTACCTTATGAATTGATGTATGCTTGATGGCGAATATTGAATTAGGCAATCATATTTAAGTATCTATTGATAGGGGAAAAAGTTACTGAAAGTTTACATTTACACTTCTTTCTGGTGTGGTGAGCAATTTCCGCCTTCCTTCATGCATATACTGCTTTTCATGGGATGGATGGTTTTCTCACTTTGATACTCCACTGGTAGGGGTTGGTAAAGTGTTAATTGCTATGGTCCTCAACTTTGAGTGAGAGAAAAAGGACAGCTGCATACAGATCGTGCTTTCATATCCTCGACTCTTGCCAGTTGAGTAGCATCTGTTGACTTATCTCCCCGTATCATAAGACATCTTAGAGGTGCTAGGAATTCTCCAAGTCTCCAGTTCACTAACGCAAAATATAGCAAGTATATGCAGATTAATCCTTTGAGAAGATAAGACGAAGCAAGCTTATACATAGTCACCCGCCTCATCCCACGTCTACAACTTCGCCACCTCCCTCACCTCCAGCATTCCTTCCATTGTCTCCTTCCACATTTCCGCCGCCTCAGCACTGATAGCATTCAAATCATAGCTAACCCCGAATCCAATAATACCCTCTGCACTAGTCGAACTTCCAACCAAGAACTCATTCTCCCGTGCCCTAACCCCAATATTCACGTCTCGGAAGTCCGCCGCAAAGTCTTTGTCCCCTAAGTTCTTCAAATCATATGTTCCGCGTTTGAAAAATGTAGCCAGAGGACCGATGGACGAGACTCCGCACGTCGCTCCGTAGCCAGCCGTGCTGGGAGCTAGGGAGCCTTGCGGGTTCTGGAAAGAGGGTGAACGGCGTTCTTGTGGTAGTTTTGCTTCGACACGCTCGATCTGTGTGATGTAGCCGGTCGCGAGCAGACGGCCTGGTGAGCTTTTGTCAAGAATACCCGCTGTACCTGTCTTCCCCTTTCCTTTCAAGCGTTTTTGGTAGACTCGCAACTCGCGGTTGGCATGCTTTGCTGTTAGTTTGAACCTTCCTTCTACTGGTAGATCTGAAGACAAGAAAGGCATTACTATCCCTTCGCTGAAGGCTAGCATGCATGAGTCTGCCGGTGGTGGGTTCACGAAGAAGCCGCGCGGGTTTAGAGGAAACGATGCTGTGAATGGCGGGTGACTGTCTGAAGGAGAACGCTTTTCGTGGATTGACATCATACCTAGACCGGCGAGAGCGAAACATCCAGCTCCTATACTGACGTTTGCAGATCGGCATAGTGATATCAGACGTGCTGAAGCGGCAGCTGAAAGCGATGCGGAAACATGACCACATGACATTGGAGGGCGGGTTGAAGGGCTATAGTCGAAGACTCTATCAAACTTAGGTTCTAGTCGTAATGGTTCATCGAGCCTCTTTTCTCTCCGTAGCGGATTCGTGAAGGTAGGTGGTAGTCCTCCTTTCTTCACATGTCTCAGCACTCTGATGAGCGCCCAGAACCAACGCTGTCTCGCCCTGTTGCCTGCAATGGGTGGGTATAAGTCTTCTTGGGCGGCTGGTAAGACTTTCTTGATCTTCTCTGACGTACAGACAGACTCGATTTCTGCCAAGATGTTCTGAGACGGCTGGTTTACGATGCGAAGAAAGTGGCTGAACCAATTGTACGCCGAGAGACCATCGGAGATCTGGTGCGCAATCACGATAAGTAATCTCAGCTCATACGTCCCGTTTGGAAGTTTCCGCAAAGGTAGCACATGCAATTTCGATAAGCATTTTGCGGGCTCGACGATGCGAGTCACGTTGTAGGCGTGACGGTATAATTCTTTCTCATCAACTTCGTCATATGCGTCTTCGATCCAGATAATGCTCTGCTCGACTTGTTCGATTGCAGATTCAGAGGAAATGGGTACGTCGACGGCGAACCCTCGTGTTCCAGTTTCTTGGTTATCAACAACTCGAGCCATAAGCAGAGGATGTTGAAGCCGTAAAGCGGTCCACGCGAGCGCTATCCTACGTCTCAATTCTGTCTTTGAGAGCTTGTGCTGGATTGCCAATGTATAGAGAGCCGTCATATCTGTGGCATGATTAGTCGCTTTCAATAATAGTTGACCTAGTGAGTAGGTCTATAATATCTCGCGCTCTTGTACATATAGTGTATAGCCACGAAGAACGAGTGAAATCTTTATGCTGATATTGGACCAGTACGAAAATACTGAGAGATGCTGCATACCTGCCCGGCCACCGTAGTACGTGCCATCTGAGTCAAATGAAGTCTCCACTAGCCCAAGCGGACGGTTGAATAGCTGCCTACCATCTGTACTATCAGATAGTTTCCATTCTGCATAGTTCGTTGCATATTTGTCCAGCCAGTGACCCTGCTCTTGCATCTGTGGTTTCATTACGCTTCTTAGCTGTTCAATCTCAATGCAGTTGTTGCTGTTTGCCACTTCGAGAGGTGAACGATGAGAGATGTTGGCAAGAAAAAGGAATAGGTAAATGTATTGAGAACCATAAAAGATAGAAAGGTCAAGATGCGAAGGATGCCAGACGAGCGGAGTCGGAGTGACCACCAGGTTGTTAGACGAGCTCCTCGGATAGGCCCACTTAGGTCATCGACAGACAGTCGCCGAGGTAGCGTCATTCCTAAGATGGTTAGTGTTTAATTGATTCTCGACCTATAAGTGAAATTGCGACCTAATTGTATACTCTGTTACTTTTCTAATCTAGTTGTGGCATGCATCACTGTGTATAGCTCAAGGGCACAATTTCAGTAGCAGGTACTGTTCGTGAAAACAAGCTTCTTCGTATCTGGCTAGATGCTGTATACGGATGAACAGTTACTTGGACGATTTACCCTAAAGGTATCCCTAGTGTGTTATTTTAACAGGTTAACAGAACGCAAAATGATGTACACTTCTGCCGGGTATCTAAATCACACAGCAACGTTGTGTGGTCTTCTAAACTACGTCCTCCATCTCATCCTCTCCCTCGGTATCTCCATCACCCGGGCCCTCAGGTGCAGCTGCCTCTGCTTGTTTACTAGTGTCTCGCTGGTTGTCAAATACAGCCTGGCGCTTCCAGTTGCTTGCAAACGGCCCAGATTTGACGAGGAGCGCAATGTCGCCAAGAACTTCCTTGAGGTACTGCTCCGGCTGCTTGGTCCGTTGCTTGATGGCCTTCATAGGCCAGTACTGGTACTCGTCGAACAACTGGTGAAGTACATCGATAAGATCGGAACGAGCCATACGAGCAGCCTTGTTCTGTTGCGATTTTGCCTTGGTCGTAGGCTTGATGAAGTTCTTGAAGCGGTTGTTGAGTGTAATGGAGTTGTTGACGTCTGAGACTTCGGTGTCTTTTGTGATGATGGTGGTTGTGTGGGAGCCTTGAATGGCTTGCTTGATGCGCGCGGCGCTGAAGTCCTTGAATTCCTTGGTCTCGAGGGGATTCGCGTTGTATTGCCGTGTCGCGTGACCGACGAGCGCAGTCTGCTTGGGAATTGCCTTCTTGTATTTGCTCCGTTTCTGAACACGCGCATTCGGATCTTGTACACCACCAAAGCTTCCCTGTTGGCCTCTGCCATACCCGTAGCCTTGTTGTCCCTTGAATCCCGGCAAATCTTTCTCTGTGAACACGTATGTGTTGCCTAGCTGAACATCGGAGGCGGCTGCAGGGTCCAACTGGAAGGCTGAGGGAAGGTTGGACTTTGCGCGCCAACGGTCGTTGAGGAAGACGCGCATAGGCTTGTCCTTATCGATGCCGCTCGTTGTCGCGAAAGCGCAGACCTCTCCGATCTGAATCTGGTCGTTGTCGTTGCCGTCGGCAATGTCTTCCCACTTAGAGACTGCCTCGTAGAGCCAGTCTGGAATGCGCGTGAGCCAGACGTCTTGCTGTGGGTTATCCTTGTTGATAGACATCTCGCCCGTATCCTCGTAGAAGTCATCGTCCATGAAGCCGACGCCAGGCTCTTCCTTGACCTCTGGCTTGATGCCGTTCATGATTGCGGATGCGACGAAGTTGCGTTACGGCAGGAGTGCAAGGTATCCACGTTGTAGTCGGCGCGGCGTCTGCGTGATAGTTGGTGATGATAGTAATAGAAGCTTGAGCGTGTGCCCTACGAAGAATGTGCCAGTGGTAGCGAGGTGGCTCAGCGAGCGTGAACCTTGGTTGCGATGATGAAAGACATCGGATCGTCTCAGGCAGGCGCATTGTACCTCCCGACGCGCTTCCGCACTAACGTGCCAAGACTCTTATCGATAATGCAGCTCTAGAGAGGTCGCGCTTGCCCCACGTCTGTTGCCTATACCCGTCAACAACCAACGAGCAAGACTGGCTTTCTCCCTCTTGTAGCCCCAGAATCCGACATTGTCTTTGGCAATTCTAGTTCTTCTCTTACGTAGGATCTAGAAATCAATTAAACTGAACTAAGAGGGTTTTTCTTTACGATCCAGCTTACCTCAAGCATCCCCCCATCATGGCTTCCCCAGCTGTCACCTCCGCTTTACAGCAGATCGAGGCAACGTCGGCCAGCGAAAAGCCCTCTCAGTACACCGCCCTTCTCCAACAGATAGTCGAAACATCGAACAATGTTGCCGCCGATCTGAACGCATACGCACAAACTCTCCTTGACGACTCTCTTGGCATAGTAGTCCTCCGACCACTTCTTGCTGCTTTCGTGGACGCCTACCGGACGGTCAAAGATCCAGATGCAAAGATTGATGTTGGAGAGAAAGTCATCACGCTCCTACAATCCAAGGGCGCGGGTCAGTACGAGGAACAAGATACACAAATCAAGCATGCTCTGGCAGACGCGTTCGAGCAGAACGACGATTTCAGGCGGTCTGCGCAGACACTTGCAACCATA